GTTTTTGTCTCACTATATAATGTTGTACAGCCCGCTTGAGGGTCATCTTTTCTGTGAAACATGCTGCTGGTTCACATAGAGGTCCACAGCGCTGTCTAAACGTAATTTCAACTGCCAATAGAAAAGTAAATCCTTTTTTGAAAGACAAACCTTTCTCCTGAGAGTCCTTCCAAAAATTCTGAACACAACAGCTGTTAAACCCGCAGTGTAACATGTGACAACAAGCCCCGACTGCACTTACTGGTTGCCTGCACTCACACATTCTTGAAAACAGATATGAAAACAAAGCACCCAATCTAAGAAACAAATCAATATCACAGTCCTTCCACAATGATTCCTTTCCACTCTCCTTTCATTTACCACCAGCAGTGTCCCTCATGGATTCTCACAGCTAATTTAGCCTATTGCAGTAGTTGTCCTTTGTCACATACGGTGTTTCATATTTGAAGTTAAATCATAGAAATCAATCCATCATCAACACAAGTGCAGTCATACAGCTCTGTCACACCACATATGACTTTCATGTAGTTTGGGACTGGAAGTGCCTTAGATCAGTGTTTCCCAACCTTTTGGAGCCACGGCACATATTTCACATTAGAAAAATCACATGGCACGCCACCAAACAAAAATGTCGCAAAAAGCATATTGATCATTTTTCCCCGCACACCAGGCATAGCAGAATTGGTTTGTCCTGAGTTCACCTTTTATGCTTTCTTCTGACCCCTACTCGTGCTAGGGCCTTCATCTGGGTCAGAATTTTCTCCAGGACTCAGGTCCTACTGACTACTTTTTCTTTTTAAATGTTTATCTTTTGCTATTAAGCGTTGCATCGTCTCTCAGCATGACTATTATGTCATTTCTTCTTTGTCTTCTTCTATTTTACTGTCAGTTGGCAACCCATTTAATTAGAGCAAGTAACTGAACTGCCCTCTAGTGAAAGAGAATGTAATTGTTCCGCCCGTAACTCACGCCAGTCGCTTAGAGTACTCAGGTGGAACCAGATAATCTTCCACGGCACACTTATGTGCTGCGGCACAGTGGTTGGAAAACACAGCCTTAGATTAATGTATAACTCTTAAAGAAAAAAAGAAAAAAACTCCAAAACAAAACATGGTATAGGAATGAGCAAGCCCAATTAAGTTAAAAAAAAAAATCACTTATAAAAGGTTAATCACTAGTTTTACTCATAACTAGTGTTACCAAAACAGAAATTAAAAGTAAACATTCATAAATATTAATCACTTACTATTTACAGTAAGGATGTGAAAAATTACCTATCTCTGCAAGTAGTGGCTCTAAAGATGTGTTAGCCTAAAGACTTTCCAATTTGCTATGATTTTATATATATCTCATGTGTGAGCCATGTAGTTAGCATTGTCAGAGTCATTGTTTCAATGTAGCTGCTTCTCACTGTTGAATACATGTCTATATATCTAGTTAATCAGAATGTTCTTTAATTCAAATGAAACCAACAAGAATGAATAATTTCATAAACATAAAAAAATGCATTACTATCAAGCAAGCATTTTTATAGTTTTATAGTTTTGTATATTTTTTTAAATCCAATATGACTTCGCTAAAATGTTTTGATACACTGAGCAATTGTATTAAACAAATCTTAAACCAGTCGTTTTCTTCAAACAGGAGCTAAAAAAAGTGTTAAACCAAATCAAGGACAGAACATGCAGGTCACTGCAGAAAACAGCTAATTGAATAAATACCACTCTTTAACACTTTGACTCTCATCTCATCCTACACTTTCACACTTGTGTGATTACCAATCACAAGTAGCTCAAACTCATTTTTATGTCAGCTTGATTGGGAGAAAGAAATAAAGTGAACATATGAAAAAGTGTTAAGGCCACTCCAACATAAATACATGTGTAAATGTGTACTTTTACACAAATGTGCACCAAGTATTTTCAAACTGAATTTCCACCTTCAGTACCTTTGTACAGAGCCCATACTTTGGGAATCATTGATCTAGCTGAATGCACACAATGAATTTACTTACATGTGGAAATTCTTGACATATAAGCTTGCAAATAAATAGGCTACCAATTACATTCACAGAACCTGCGACCTGTGGATATGATGAAGATATGCATATATGAAAATGTGCTATTCTTCACAGGGGCAATAATGACTACCAGTACTTAGAGTAATTTACAAGACACTGATAACAAAAACAGAGGACGGAAATAAGGAGGAAATGACATAAATAACATTTCAGTTTAAAGCAGAGACACTGGGATTGATCCTTCATTACTCACTGAATAGTGAAAGTTACATTTATCAGTTCCAGGACAGCTAGATACATACTGAAGCAAGATATATGGAATTGTGTAGCAAAGACGAAATTGGTTGAAATTTGCACTGCCAACTCTTGGCCTTCTCTGTCAGTGAGCTTCATGATCACCTGAAATGATTTTCAGTTCACAGGTTCACCTTGTCAGGGTTCATTTGTGGAATTTCTTGCCTCCTTAATGGGGTTATGACCATTAGTTGTGTTGTGCAGAAGTCAGGTTGGTATACTGCTGACAGCTTTATTTGACAACTGTTAGAATTCAAATTATGGCAAGAACCAATCAAAGAAGTAAGGAGAAACAACAGTCCATCATTATTTTAGGAACTGAAGGTCAGTCAATCTGGAAAAATGCTAAAACTTTGACAGTGTCCCCAAGTGCAGTCGCAAAAACCATCAAGCGCTATAATGAAACTGGCTCACATGAGGACCACTGCAGCAAAGGAAGACCAAGAATCACCTTTGCTGGTGAGGATAAATTCATCCGAGTCAAACGCCTCAGCAATTGCAAGTTTATAGCACCTCAGATTAGAGTGCCGATAAATGCCACACAGAGTTTCAGTAACATCACTGTGGAGCAAAGATATTTACAGATTACATGTTATGGATTGTGTTAGTTGTAGATATTGTTGAAGCTTTTCCAAGACCATTGCATTTACATGATAATAAGAATAAGCAGTTTATCTATATTAATTTTATTGATCATTTATTGTATCATTTGGAGATTATTCCACACTTTAATATCATTATCCCAACTCATACCTTCACATCAAGAATGAAATACAAATCCCTGAGTAGTTTTTTTAAGTAACAATGTCACTTAAATTTTATAGGAAGGGAAACTTGCGTGTGTGTCTTGCCAAACACAGCCACAGCATTGAAGCACAGTTGGACAAAATATGTGACTTACAATCATTTTGACAACATGAAAGCCAGTGGCAAGCTGTTTCTCTGAACTACTTGGTGGTTTAAAGAAACAGCTAAACACACACAACTGTCTATTCAACACTTTTTTCTCTTTCAGCTTAAAAGAGGATGTGAAAACACCCTTTGTCTTGACCATTAAATTTACTGTACATGTTGCTAATTTGAGTTATTTTTGGCTTATTGAATATTGATATTAAAATAAAACGGTAACATAGACATTGTGAGATTTCCTTTTAAATATAACTTATTTTGATGCACATAAAATATTACTTATGTGAACTCTGCAATATGAATGCGTGTATGAAACTTTGAAATCTGCTAAATCCCCAAGAATGTCAAAGTATGTGATGTGTGCCAGGCAGGATGAAGAACCCAAAAGCAGGACTCATACACAAAGGAATAAACTCAAAACGGCAGCTTTATTGCTGTAGAAAAACTTGAAAATAAAATACAAGAAAACTAAACTAGAAACTCAAAACGTGTAGCGCAAACTAGAAAACCAGGAAACAGAGAACCAGAACTTTACCAGGAGCATGGAAGAAAAACACAGCACAAAGAGCAAAGGAAGACACATTAAATACACAAAGGATTAACGAGGGAAAGAGAAACAGGAGGGAAACATGTTTCTTATGTTTCTTGAATTTACACACCACTGTTGCTTGTGAAGCTTTCCCTCACATGTGCTGTACCAGTGTGCCAGTAATGTGATTTCAGATAATTTGCGGCCTACAGTTGGGTAGTTGCCTTTGGATTTGTTGCTACTTATGTTTTGAATGTATACATACAGTGAGACATTAAATGCAAGTGGCAGCAAAAGATCAGCAAAGTACACAAAAAAGAAACTTTATGCCACAGCCAAAACTTGCGGCCACGACTGTGCATGTATCACACACTGTCAGTTACATGAGGTTTCTTCACCAGTTCCAATTCCTTAATTTTTACCAGCTTCAAGTTATCGAGAGAAGAAAAAAGAAAACTCTCTATGCAGAGATTCAGCAGTAGAGGGTCTTTTTTTAAGCAAATAAAACAGCAGTATTTCTCAGTGCTTAAGTGAGAAATACATTTACATAGTGTGATATAAGATGGTCCTTTTGCCAGTCTTGCTCAGTAACATTTAAACGTGTGCTGAGAAACTTCCTGAAATCTTGGTGCAAAAACAAGGAAGAAACAGAAAATAGAGACGACGAGGGCAGTCAACTGAGATCACTGTGGAGAGAAGAGTGAACAAGAAAGAAAGGAAAAAGGTAAAAAATAAATACAATTCCACCTTTTCTTCTATATGGCACTGCTGACAAAAGTTACTTGTGCTGGACAAAAAAAACTGGTGGACTGTTTCTACATTTGTTTCTGTTGTTGTATTAATTAAATGATACATGGTTAAGATAGAGTTTATACATATGACTGCTAACAAATTATGTGACATCCTTTAACATATATTATGTAAAATGTGGACAATCCCTTGTTTTAGTTCTGCATCTTTACATCATCTGCGTTCAAGTTTCTCTGTGGAGGGATAAACTGAACGTGTCACACATCGAACATTTGTTCTCATCTGGGGTATTCTGCTTTTCTCTGAGAGCAGCAATGCTAAAAAACATTTTGATTCTTCTCTTCTGTATGTTTGTAATTAGGTTGCAAAACTGGTGGAAGACAGCAGTCTCAAGAATACTGTGTTATCATTTGTGAACAAAAACTAACAGCAGAGGCTGCTCCTCTGCTGGACAAGTTATTCTGTGGAGGGAGAGACTGGACGTCTCGAGCATCGAACATGTTTGTGCTCATCTGGGCAAATCTGTTTTTCTCTGTAAAAGGCAGCATTGTTGACACAGGTTTGTATCTTCTCCTTTCATGTAATTCTGCTATATTTGTATTTGAATCTTTTTTTCCTGAAATTTATCCAGATGATAAGATTTTATTAACACTCACAATTCATCATAAATTTGTGCCTTTACTTTCATCTGTTGGCTTGTGTGTCAATTTTTAACAATTAATTTAATCTTTTGTGAAACATGTCTCGAGATACTGTTAACTAATATCCAGGCAGATTTCATAACCTGGATATAATACGCTATGAAATGTGAAAACTATAGTTGCTGTATATAGCACAAACAAGCACCTTGTGTAAAAAATACAAGTTACTGTGATATATCATTATATTTATCTTTCCCTTTGCATTAACAGGTGCTTCAGCCTGGGGACAACAACACTGTGTTGGAAGATACTGTGTGACTCTCAGTGAGCGAGAACTAACAGCAGAGGCTGGACTCTGTGTGGTGATCCCGTGTTCTTTCACTACTGCTGATGAGTTTACACCCAAACATACAGTTTGGTACAAATGTGAAGCATCTCAACACAGTTGCAGTGATGATGAAATAATATTTCACAGCAACAAAAACACAGACAAAAAAGTTCAGTCTGGGTTTGAAGGACGAGTCTCATGTTTGGAGCCTGATGTGAGTCAGAACAACTGCAGCATCATCATTAATGATCTGAAAGAGTCTGATTCTGGATCATATCAGCTCAGAGTTACTGGTGAACTGAATGGGAAAGAAGATGGATTCACATTCATTCCAAGAGTAACTGTCTCTGTTAAAGGTATGAAAAGCTATTCCAAGGCCAATCATGTAGAAAAAAGTCATATACAATAACATATTTAGGATTTTTATGGTCTTAATGAAGTATTAACTCTTCTGGGGAATTGTTGACCTCTATGGTAGCTAGTAGGAACTGCAGCAGTTCCTGGCAAAACTACCATTTTCACTAAATAGCTTATTATTTGAACCAAGATTAACGTGCTAAATGAACTTCCGGTAGTTAATTTGGGTTCATTAATGCAATTTATTTCCATTAGGTCTTAATCAGAAGCCCACAGTAATGAGTCCCACACTGACTGAGGGACAGCAGGCCACACTGACCTGTGTTGCTCCTGGTCTCTGCTCTGGATCTGTTCCTGAAATCACCTGGACATGGAGAGGAGCAGGAGGGACTGAATCTTACATTAAAGGAAACAGGACTGATTTCAACACTGACAATCCGACGTCTTTCACACAGAGACACATCTCAACTTTGACCTTTAATCCTTCAGCTGAACACCACAACACCAGTGTCACTTGCAAGATCAACTTCACAGGTAGAAAATCTACAGAGGAGACTTTGACTGTACATGTAAACCGTGAGTACTTTGCAACCTCCTATTTATTGTTTGCATTTTTTAAAATCTATTGAATCATCAGCAGATTCTGAAAAGGAAATAACATGATTGTAAAATGTGTATTTTTATCTCACAGATATGAAAGAAATTACAATCAGTGGTATTACAACTGTTAGGGAGGGAGATGTTCTGAATCTGACCTGCAGTCTTGAAAGTTTCCCTCCATCCATGATTGTGTGGTCTAAACTTGGTTCTGACACAAACCTGCACAGTTATTCTGGATCAGCCAGGCTTGTCATTGAGAATATGAAACCAGAACATTCTGGACAGTACATCTGTGCAGTTACATATATGAACAATACCCTGAAGAAGGATGTCAATATCACAGTGATATGTAAGTACAAAACTTTGTGCTTTTAAGCAGAACATTTTTAGCAGTGGTCATATTCGTTTCATCTGGTACCTGAAATGGTGCATTTAAATTAGTGTAATTCTTTTGAATAACTCTTACAGCCACACCTCGTTAAATATGTGATATCATCTCAACATCTGTGTATATTGGCTTTGAAATGTTTAGACAGTGATACCACTGACGACTTGTACTTTTCAAAAATGTCATTTAAAATAATTTTGATAAGTTGAAGACGATGTACAAATGTATATCTTTTATTTATAGATGTAGAGTAAAACTTTGTTTAGAAAGAGGAACACTGTCGACTGCACTATACAGGGGAAGTAAGAGGAAATGTATTAGGAGCCTTTTAAAAACTATTATGATGTTGTACGGTGACCAAATTGTAATTTGCATTTTATTGACATTTGTGGCATTTTACACTTTGCATTAATTAAACACACGTTGTTATCATTCTTATCCTGCAAGTTAACATCTACACAGCTTTGAAAGATGTGATTTTTTTTTTGGTGTTTTTTGAGGGGCGTTCGGGCATTTTTCTGATTGAACAGAAAATGGCAGTGCAACTTGCCCTCTCCTTAAATATACCACTGAACTCACTGAAATGTATTTTGCAGATAACAGGACACATCAGATCATTGGGAATACAGCTGTTAGGGAGGGAGATGTTCTGAATCTGACCTGCAGTGTTGAAAGTTTCCCTCCATCTCTGATTGTGTGGTCTAAACTTGGTTCTGAAACAAACCTGCACAGTTATTCTGGATCAGCCAGGCTTGTCATTGAGAATGTGAAACCAGAACATTCTGGACAGTACATCTGTGCAGTTACATATAT